CCGTAATGTTTAAGCTTATCGATCTGATCGCTTAGTTGAAATCGCTCTAATTTGCCCATGAAGACATCTGCTAGGAGAGGTCCAAGGGGTGAGCCCATAGCAGCGCCGTCAACTTGTCTAAAGAGTTGGTTGTCGAACAGGAACAGCACATTTAATGTGCATCATAATAATAGTTCCTTGAGTGTCTTCGTCGGAATTCCTAGTTCTTGCTGACTGGCAGAGAGAAAAGCACAGATGTAATCAACTGTCTCGGTGACCGGAACGTTGTAGAAAGTGATGAGACGTCTTGCGAGAACATTACCATGCCGTTGACGTTAAGGTATTTGATGTGGTCAATGAATTCAAAGGTATCTCGGTAGCTACGTGGTGCTAGCTGACGCTGTACGGGATTGCGTTTCTCAGCTAGCTACTTTGCTATCGCATGATACGGAGAGTTTCGCATGTCTAAAATCGGACGGACTGGCAGGCCTTCCTTATGGATCTTAGGTAGACCATATAGTCGATGGATATGTGTCCCAACTGGTCGGAGGTGTTCGAGGTCAAGGTAGCTTATGTGACCCCCTGTATGGAGCCTTCTTAGACAGTCAGTCAGTTTCATCTCTACTTCTTCCGTGCAATCCTTTTTTTGTCTGCCTTCCGGAATTTCTTCTGGTCTGATAATATGGACTGTATCTTCGCCACGTAATCCGATCTGTTCATTTTAACGGCGCCTGTTCCTTTGTCTGGTCTAGTTAGCAAGATATCTTTAAATGTACATGAACATGTAAATGAACATGAACTGCCCAAAACTGGGAAATTTATGGGGAGCTAGAAACAAATGCTTATTAATTCATCTGACGCAACTGTAAACAACTCGGCGGTCTCGGTGGGATTCTGACCCCACAATTGCAAGGCCAAGGCTTAAGTGCAGCCAACGCTCAGGTGGTACTTAAGCTTCGCCATTCCTGACTGGGTTTGAATCTCGCCAAGTCTGCTGAGCTTTTCACAACTGGGACAGGGGCATTATTCAGAGCTGCAAAAAACACCTATTAAGAATTAGTTGATTTTTTTCAAAAACCAGCGCAGTCACCTCTTTATACTACAAAACTTAAATTTTCCACCGGAAATAATAAGTGTATTATATTTACCCCACGTCCCCGCAAATATTTTCTCTGAGACAATGCTACTCAAATGAACCAAGTACTGTTTTAATAGTGAATATTTTTATTGTTCGTGTACAGTTATTTCTAACGAGCTGACATGTAATGAATAGGGTTTTCAAAGGCATTGCCTATTATCCTTAGCAAATAAACTGAAATAAACTTAAATCTTCCTCAAGGATACAATGAAGTTAACTAAACTTCACAAACAAGCGGAATAAATACACGTAAAGCAAGTGGTAAACTTCTTAAAATATAAATAATGTAGGTCTTTTGAAGAATGCTCACTTAAGTGCCAGGAGACCACTCATTTAGAATTAGCCTTGGTTGTATTTCCTGCCAATCCGTCCAGCCATCTCACCTCTACAGCCAGTCCGATCTGGCAGCTCATTAAAAATGTCAGTCGATGGCTAATGAGCTTCATCGGACATCGCGGATAGGGAAACTGGGCGCCCTTGCGGACATTTACTTAAATCCTCTCAGTACGACTTAGTAAACTGTGACGGTGCGCTCTGTCTATGGATTGAGCAAAGGAAAAGTGAGCTTGCGCTGTTAAGTGGGCCGTCCTGTCAACTAGAATTGCCTCTTTCTTTTAACCAATTGATAGAAAACAGCCCCAGACCCCTTGCCGAATGCATCACTGAAAGCCCGGAAATATAAGAACAAATGGAAGAGAATATGCGCATCCCAGGTTCTTGTTTAAAAGAAGGCAAAGGCACGATCACTGGGACAGTAGGTTTATTTGCCGTCGCAAAGTACAAACGGCGTCACCACGCCGGGGGAACATCGTGGACCAGGCGGCACAAACCCTACCTAGTCACGGACGTACTCCCCCTTTCCCCCCCCCCGCAAGGACGAAGGATATAAATGTTCACAATTTGCTGCACTCGAGTAGTCTCTGATGATGAACTCTAGTTCGAGCTCGAAAGCTCAGGCAAATAAACCGACTGTCCCAGTGATCGTGCCTTTGCCTTCTTTTAAATAAGAACAAATGTTTCCTAACTTGGTTTGTTCATTCAGAACGCTGTCAGTTGGAGGAGGAGCTCAAGGAAGTGGAGGCCAAGTCTGCAGCCGCAGAGGCAGAACTGCGTGAGGGTAGGTCTCAGCTGCCATGTCCTCCTGTAAACCTCCTTACTTTAGCGGAAAAACTTGTTGCTGATGCGCGCTCAGAGGCGGTTTTGTTGCGCGAGAAGAAACAGCTTCTGTTAAATAAACTTTCAACCGTAAACGCCATGAATGACAGGTGAGCTCTGCTGCCCTCTCTTGCAGTTGCTTGCACTCATTGCTTTTTGTTTTTTTTTATCGCGACGAAGTTCGGTCCTGCAGAGCTCCACTTGAGTGATACCACCAGGTTAGCTTTCTGAAAAAAATTATTAGATGCGAATACGCTGACTTTACAAATATCACGTACAGTAGGTGGGCTAACTCATGAAACGTCAGCCGAAATTGTGAAATGCGTTTTCGTTTCGAAAAGATTAATTAAGTAGAGTTGGAGAACTAATCCTCATTCTGTGATAATTCAGTTACCCTAAGATGCCGGCTTCCGAAAGAAATTCTTTTCGGCAGCATGCAAAAGCTATACTCCTTAAATAATGACTACTTAAGTAGCATGCATTTTCCCATTGATTTTCAACGCCCCTAAAAGTCTAATTATATTTCATGGAGAACATGCATAAAAATATTTAATCTTTTGCTCATTTGGTAAACAATTACGTCTTCTAATTCCGGTTTTGAAAAGTTTCTAATAGTGGAACTTTCAAATGCCGTGAAATGACCATTCATAAATCGTCATGACTCTGCATTTACCAATGCGGCTCGTAAAGTTAACAACATGGCTCAAAGTCACTGCTGAATTTTATGACCCCGCATAGTGTCTACTTAATACCATGGAGAAACGTATGGTTTTACGTACGCGGAAAATATATGGTTTATAGTTTGTAAACCCTGAATGCGAGTGTAACGGCAGGTCGGGTTCAAAATTATTCGGGAATTTGAAAAGTTTTTGAAAACCGAATTATATTTTTCCTTTGAGTAAAAAATGGGAGGAAGACGTAATTTTCTATCGAATGAGTAAAAGAATGAATATTATTATTTATGATAGTGGGCGTTCACCGATCAGGTTACGGAACATGCCGATCACAACCGACAGGACAACGGGCCCGTGGCTCAATGGTAGAGCGTCAAACTCCATGACCAAAGATCCCGGGTTCGA